AATTAGGGAAACAAAATAATAATAAAATAATGAAGATCGGTCGATAGGGCCCGGAGAGTTTTTTTATTCACATTTTGGATTCAAACGGTACAATAAAATTGCAATTGGCTCATATAATACAGATCCTACACAATCAAGAGTCGATCTTTGTTGTTTCCAATTTGATAATGATGATCGATGTCAATTAAGTCGTTCTCCGAAAGTGAAGTATAGAATACTAACAAGCGTTATTCCATTATATTATTATATTTCGTCATTAAAAAAATTTTCATCGTCTAACAAGTGAATGTGGTTCAAAATTCGATTACATTCATATCGGGATATCATTCGAATTAGAAAATATATTGTTTACTATTTACAACGGAGAAAGAATTTATACAATGTGCAGAATTTTGTCTTCTTTAAAGCTGTTCTATCAAAAAACTTGTAGAGAGGAGATTTAAGGTGAAAAGAGAGTGTCATAGAGAAAAGAAAGTCGACTCAGTGTCAAAGAAGGCTCATTACAGACTCATGTAAGATCGTTAAAATATGTTTTCAATAGACGGAATGTAGAGTAGACTTTGTTCTATTCAACGGTAAAAAAGTAATTTTCTCATCCCTTTTATTTTAAGAGATACGGAGTCCGCAACAAAACCTTTTGCAGCGTCTAAATACTTCTTACACTCAGTGTAGATCAATTGCGTCATACGAAAAAGAGTTTTCTAATTCGAAAAATTTTGTTCGATATTTGACAACAGATGAGCGGCGTGCAAATGTAACTATTTTTTAAGAAAAAATAATAACAAAAAATATCCGAACAAGAACAGTAACAAGAAACTAATTCGAAAGAAAATTAGACAGTTCGTAGTTTATTAACTGTTCTATTGACTGGAATACATGACGGAGATCCAGAAAGAGTTGCTGTGGAAGAAACAATAACAGACGATAGTAGTTGATAACGATTGTTGAGGTTGACAAAAAACGGTAGTTGATAAAAACTATTTGGCTTCAAATTATCGTTACTATTACCATTCAGTTTGTTGTTACGTCCAAAGAAATATATTCGTAATTTAGAACGAAATTTATGATATATTAGTAGACAAAAGAAAATAACTATTACACATAAAATAACAGTAACTGTTGATGAATGTTCATTGATGCGACGATCATGAGACGTTGTGTAAATGCGATTGATAGATCTAAAGACATAATTAGAAAGAAAACAAAATGATGATCAATTTTAATTTATATGCAAACCTTAATGGTAAAAAACGTGTTTTATACAAAATAGCACCAAGCGTCCATTGGACATCATGTTTATTAATCAATGATGCTGATCGTAACCGTTTATAATTCACCGGAAATCTCAAACCATCATGCAAAAATGCATAGAGCCACGCTGACTTAAAACACTGTAATCTAAATAAAAGAAAATCGTCAGAAATACTAGAGTAATATAGAAATACATACTTACAACAAACGATTTAAATCAGCTTTTGGAAATAAATGTTTGCTGTACCATGAACGAATCGCTGTCCAGTTCGAATTACAGTAATTCTAAATATTAGGTACAATTTTGATTCGTTTACATTCGTATACATATCAGAGTAAATAGATAATGTTTAACGATTAAAAATTTATAGCATAGTCGAGCTGTCCAACAAAAACCCACTAAACTATCCTTTCTGGTAGCCGTCTGAAATCATTGTTCTGTAAAAAGAAATATGAGTCAAGCTTACTGTCGATGCATTGAGAAATGTTTGACGCATATATGGCCCACCTATCCGTAAAATATCTGCAAAAAAGGCAAATCTTTATTATAATCTGTTGATATTGAGAACGAGCATGTGCTTAACACCTTCCATCGTATACCAAAATTCACTAAAACCATAAAAATCTGCTGTTTCATAATTGATGGGTGGTTGATGCACGCCATTTATTGAGCATGGTAATCGCGAACATGTTATATTTAAATTTAATAGGGGTAAGACATATTTTGCACAATTTTCAAAACTACCATTTCCATATAAGATGATTGTTTGATTAGACCGTTCATATTTTACTGTATATCCGTTTGGTAAACAAGTAGCAGTATTTATGTACTCATTTGTTGAATTTGTCTTTGAGCTAGACGAAAAGAAAGAGTTCAACTTTTTAGAAAAATAATGATCATTTTTGAAACGTACTTTAATGATAGATAACTTGTTGCAATTAACAAGTCAATGTATTTATCGAATGCTTTATTCGCACCAAAGCCAAGGAACGTTGTTACATATATTTTGTATTTGAAATAACTATTATGTTCATCTGCGCTCAATGAAAATTCAGCCATATTATCATTGTCAAGGGGGAGCTTGAAAAAAAAAGTATATCGACTTTTATCATAAACTGGTACATTCTTAACTTACATCCGAAGCAATTTCATAGGCAATTTGAACAGATGCACCGCCCATGTCAAGAATACCAACTGTCGATTGACGTTTTTGTGATATGCTTATTGAATGACCGTCAGACACAGAAACTAAAGCGAGAAGAAAGCTTTTAGTAGTGTGTATCATAGACTAATACTCTATACATACCAGAATCGGTTGCATTACTTTGAAATCTTCCTAATACATAATTGATTGCGATCCAGCTATAAATACCCTCTAATTTTCCTGATATTACTTGTATGTGTGTTTTTTCAATTTGGAAACGGTAATCACGTACAATATCCTTAAATAAATCTTCTAATAGCTGTGTTTGTTCACTAAAGAAAAAAAAACTGACTATTTTATCATAATTTTTTGTATTTTGGAAAGAGGAAGGAAACAGTTTTACTTGAGTGTTAAATATCTCAGACCAGCTGTTGCAAATACGTATACTAAAATGATTAAGAGGAAATAATGTGATTAACGATGAGACGTAATTTGGCTACTTACGTGGTGTTTCTCGATGTTTATTGTTTGGTATTACTTGTGCAGCAAAATCTGTTAATAAAATGGAGAAAAGTAGAATAAGTTCTTTGTTCTCATTGATGCCAATTTACCTAACAGTGATTTCATATATTCGGTTGCATTTTCAGGTGTTCTAACCATCGATGATAGACCTTCAAAGAAGACAAAATAAGCGGCACAGTGGTATTACAGTTCTCTAAAACGTGCTTTCAACTTACCCGGCTCAAGTTTTTTAACAATCGGTACACCCTGTTCATCTAATAATTGCTTTATCTGAAGTAAGTCACCTTTCTTTCCAGAATGCTCTGGCCATATGTAAATATATAACCGTGTCCCACTACTACCACAGTCTACGACAACCCCATAATGGATATCTGAGTTTTCTTTTGATGGTACATAAACGCCTCCCTCACCATTGCCACCAACAGTGATCCTTTCTAGTATACCGCTACTGCTTGAAAGAATCTAAAAATAAATTAAACAAACTTTTCGATTCGACGAATCTCTTCACACTACAGATGCCTCGGTATTGACTCATTTAACAAAGAGTTCTCTGACTTACTCGGCTTAATAGTAACCATAGAAAAAGAAATGCTGCGAAGATGGCCATATATGGCAACGTAAATCGGAGACCTTGTACACCAACAAAAGGCATCCATCAGCGCATCTAAAAGAATAGAAAAAGTGATGTGCATTCACCTCGTTTAATAACCGATGCTTTAATTCTGTTAGACAGAAATCGACAGGTACAAAAGGTAGGCGAAAGCTGCACAGAGTGAAAGGTGCAGAAACACCGAGAATAAAAATTTATCGAAAGGTAAAGGCCTAGTCTACACTATAAGAGTTAACTCTGGATTAAGAAATTTGATTGGTGTTGCTTCTTAACAACTCCAATCAGATCCCTTAACCCAGAGCTAACTCGGTCATGGGATAGGAAGCTACCCAAAACCAGTCCATTTTTACCATTCGGGCATGGCTGATTCACAGTATCCATCTCATACATTGTACAGGCATACAAGAATTGAGTACGGGTATGTCGCTTGACAACTAAAGACACTAATTTTGTCTGTATTTCAAGCGAAAGGAATTTTTCGGACAGGCAAGATGCATTCTGTTTTCTCATTTTTCTATTCACCATCTTGTTTTATCAGCGTAACAATTATATAAACATTACAGTTTACTTGTATATATACTTATACTCGGCTATTTTCAAAGTTTTCGAGTTGCTGCTTTTCCTCACACGTGAAATATTTCATCATTACAACAACTTGCTCCACTTTATTTAAAACCAATCTAGTTTTATAGAGCTTATCAAATTACGTAAGAAACTGTCTTTTTTGACTTCATAGCTAATGCAGCAACCGAGAAAAATGACTTTTGAAAAATGACTTTCCCAACAAAATTTTCGGATTCGGCGCCACTTTCAATGTAAGTTCATGGGTACCGCGATAAATTTTACAACACGTTCTTCCTTTTTTCAGCAAAGTACTTAGGATTTTTATTAGAGGATGAAATAGGAATTGTATTCTCTAAAACTTTGAAGGATGTTCCGTGTAAGGTTCACGAAATATTAAACTTTTAAAAACGAAGTATATTTCAGTTTTATCTCAGTATTTTAAACTTGGGTTTTGATAAAAACAACTTCCTATAGGTTTACTTACATTCTCAGTTCGATT